AAGGTTGCTGAAAACCCTTTGACAGCCGGTTTCGCCCTTCCGCTTAGGGCTCATCAGGTAGGCGCAGTCACCGAGTTTCCGTCAACCTTATGTTCTCCTTGCACCCAAATTGGACTGTTTTCGAGAAATACACTAATTTGCAAAGCAATTTGGTTTTTCACTAGAATATTCTAAACGAGAGATTCAGTTGAGTCTCTCGTGAAAACCAAATTGATTTGCAAATGAGTGTACTTCTCGAAAACAGTTCAATTTGGGTTCAAGTAGGACATAAGGTTGACGGAAACTCGGGGACTGCGCCCACCTGATGAGTCTCAAGAACGCCGTTTGTTCTTGGTTCCTGAAAATCATTTAGCGATAAAGGGTTGGGGAATCGGTTGATGTGGTCTTGCTGACAGAATTACCGACCATCGGTGCTGTGAGCTACATCTGGCATGTGAGAATCGATTCTAACAGTGTCAGGGATAATCAGTTCAAAACAATCTAAAGTCTTTCCGTGAAGACACGCCAGCAGTGGTCCCAGTTAGTGACTATCACGAAGAAACAGTGTCATCTTTGTTTTCTTCTATCTGCGTGAGTGGAATATAGTTAAAGTAGGCTGATGAAAATCCACTTGAAGATTCAGATGCAACTGAAATCTGGGGTGATCGAGGGTAACACAACCAAGTTGGAAAATTCTTCAAGGACAAAACACTTGGGGCTGCCTAAACGCTTCAAAGGTACCCATTTTATTTTGACAAAAATCACTGCAACACGCCAACAATGATACATGTGCCAGCCGCGTGCAAACAGATGTACTACAACCCTCAGCAGCTGAGAGTAATGAATCGGTATAACTGAAAAATTGTTTCTTTGCGAGTGTCACTCAGTAAATCAATCCAGAATGTAAAAAAAACAATCGTTCGTTTGCTTATCATCATGCATCCAAAAATAATGGTTGTCCCGCCTAGATATTTCTTTAGAAACTACCGCGTGCCAACTCCTTTCTGGGGATCCTTGAGATCATGTGCGATGAAGTGAAGTCTTCAAAATTTCATGCGCTTCATTTCATTTTTCAAGGCCTTCCTCTGGTTCTGGTCTACTCGTTGATTGACATCAGTGGTCTTCATCACTGCGAACGAGTGCGCTATTTGTCCACTTTGGGAGTGTCTTTGGCATTCAGGGGATGCATTGTCGCTCAAGGAATCTATGAAGAACAATATTAGTCACTTTGAGGTAACAGACAATAGTGAGAAAGCCTGGGGTGTATCAGGCTGATAGTTTGTTCAGCTGCCTCACCAAATCAGCTATATCGCAGTGAACCCATTCTCTTACCAACTATTGTGCGCCAAATAGCTGTCCTGAAACTGTTCCATTGAGTCACAAAAACGAAAATGATAACCGATTGTTATGAAATCAAAACCACTTTTTCCGAAAGTTCTATATATTTTGTTTGGTTAGCAGATTTGCGTTGTGAGTGAAACCAACATGCACTCTACTGTTGCCCGACAGTCACAGTCTTTTCAAAATAGAAAACCGACTTTGCTCGTTATCTTCCCACTTTATGGGCAAACGGCAATGTATCCTAATTTTTCACTGAAATCCTGGAATTAGTAGTATATCAACGGCAAAATCTGCTTCCGTTTGGTTTCTGGTTCTGGACTTTTTCTAGCTGGATTGTGAAAACCGGTATGAGTAGTATAACGTGACGTCCGTTTTGTGCACCTGCGAATCACTTCAGGGGGTACGGGAATTTTCATTTACTTAAATTATACTAGGGCGCATGCCCGTCGGATCCTTTCAATAAGACGTAAAAACGGGGTAGTCCAGCACAGCCTGAGATGGGAAGCAACTCATAGCACAGTCATCATCTCAGCAACGTAAGTTAACAAGAGAACCCGCGGACTAAGCGAGATGCCTCATAGTTTAGTGATTAGAAAAAGCTCCTCACGCAAGAAGCACACACAGTCGACAACGTAATCAAGCCTAATTTCAAGCAAAAGCAAAATCAGTTGTGACCAGCTTCTAGAGATGATCCAAACGTTACACTTCCGTGCAACCAAAGCATCAATAATTTTGTTGAGAAAACTCTATAGCGAAAACGCGTGTGGGGAACGGACAAAATTGGAGAGACACCTTCTTCACCGCATTACTTTCTTGAAGAACAAAACCCTCCAGAACCAGAGCGGCAACCTGATTTGTTTTCGAAACACATTACTCTCAAGGCTGCTGAAAACAAATTCACAGCCAACGACCTGCTTTACCATTCCTGATGTTGGTCATGTAGATGCTTTCCTGAGTTTCTTCAAATTGTCTGCAACTGGCGGTCGGTGAGCCAAATGAAAATCCTGGCAGCTTCTGTGCTACATATTCAGTTGAGTTTTAGCACAACGGTGCGAATCAGCTAGGATTTGTAGCGGCTACCCTCCTGACCCTCCATACCTTTGGAACTAATGTTATTGGTACATCAACATAGACTGTCTATTATCTTGTTTGCCCCACAACCACCAGCATCACCTACCATTTCGTCAGCGCCCACTTCTCTCCTTCGCTAAGGGGAGAGTAGAGGTCACTGATTAGATCACGTGTCACAAACACTCAAACCACGTGATAATTCCTGTTCCACTTGCAACCCTTGCCAACAACATGTACAGTAAAACTTCTCAACCATTTTCGTTTAAGCGGCTACCACTTGCGTAACGCGCCAGGCTTATAAACTCCAACACATCAGGTCAAGTTGTATTCACATTCGTGCAAGCATCAAACACGAAGGGACATCCTTCTCTTCATACTGCGCACAATAAACAGGCATAAACTAGGCTCAATAGAAGCATCAAACACGAAGGGACATCCTTCTCTTCATACTGCGCACAATAAACAGGCATAAACTAGGCTCAATAGACACACTCGCGCGCACAGGACAGAAAGTCAACAGAGCTCCGCAAGTTTTCACGGACAACTACGTAACACGTGTAGCAGCTATACTGCAGAGAAGACTCGTCCCGAGTCCGGAACTTCACTCAAGAACTTTCAACAGGTGTCTCAAAAGATAA